GAGAGAGTCATTGATCGGCTGCCTAGCCCGCAACCCGGGCATGTGCCCTGACGGGGAATCGAACCTCTATCTCCTGGATCCTAGGTCGATGCTCAACTGCTGAGCCATGCCTGGCCGGGCAGAACATCAATTTTTAGAGACGCCATGTCAGAAAGGCACTGCCATGTAAATACTGAGTGAGTCTGAAATGGCTCTATTGCCAAGGACTCATATTTTACAGCTTGGAAGGGAATAATTGAGCAGAAACCATTTCTATATAAAGTGCATCTCACTTTATATAGATTATATATATTATAAAATGCTATATAAAGTATTCTTTAGGGATACTTCAGCTCTTTGTGTGTCTTTGGCTCATCCTAAATGAAATGGCACTTGAGTTAGGTCCAGTTTCTTTCCTGATGGCTGCTCCTATCTCTTCACAGTGGACTTGACCTTAGAAGGTGAAAGAACCAAATAGCCAAACATGAAGCTACTGAAGCATTCTCTGACTCTTTGGAAGTACATTTCTGAGCTCATGGAATATTTCTCGGGCAGTTTTATCATGATGGTGATACTAGACAGAAAGATCCTTGGGGGTAGACACTATCTGATCCATCTTCCATCCTCAGAATCAAGAACCTTGCATGACATTTCCCTGAATGTGGTGATGTAGAGAGAAGACCCATTTCAGGGACAGAATCACCTTGCCCAAAGGAAGAGGTGTGAGGTATCAGGATGTTTGAAGGGTGGCACAAATCAGAAGCTCAAGAATTTTAATTTAATGAACAAAACCAGTCTGTTTGGAAGATGTTTCCCAACTCTACTGAAGAGATACTATTGGTCCAAGAGCCATGGGATTTCTGTAAAGCAAAGATATTCAGGGCTGGGACATGCCTGCTCTCCTCTCCCACGCCCAGGTGCGGCTGGGGCAGCAGGGAGTTGAGGAGGACAGGTGTCAAGCTGCCAGGACGGCCCTTCCTGTCTGAGCCCGGGCCCATCTACCACCAGAGCCACAGCAGCAGCAACATCTGTTCTGCTCTAACTTTCTGCTTTTTTCTCTCCCTCTCCATCTGAGCTTTTAAACTGCCTTTAAAACAGGAGCAGCCGTGGGCCCGTATTTGCCTCCAGCTGTTTCCAATTCTCTCCCAGGCCCTCTCTCTCCCAATAAATGACACATTGTAGAAGGTGTTTTACAGCCTAACTTGTTAATAGAGCCAGATCATTCTATAATAAAACCTAACACGGCAATCAAGGTTGAAACACAAATATCACAAAAATGTGAGTTCAGTAAGTATAGTGTCATCTATTTAAAAAGCAGCGGGGCCATTTTTTGAATTTTCTAATTCAAAAATTCTAACCTTTATGAGGAGATTTCCTCACAGTTGAAGGATATGCCGCTTTATAGTTGACTATTGGATTTTTCCCCTGTTGGCAGCTTTCATAGATTCTACTATAAATGAGTGAATGAATAATATAAGAATAATCGAATCTGCTCATTTTATCTTTCCCTGGGGATTCAGGACTGAATGTCTGTAGAGTTCTGTCGGACCTCTCACTTAACATCATTGTGTTTAAAAGATAATTGTCAGCAAGTAACTGCAGGATGCACCATCATAAAACATTCTTCCTTAACTTTCATAGTTAAAAGTGAGCATTGTCTACCTTCTTTTCCGGTGGGGCAAGGATTCTGAATGGAGATTAAAGCCCAAGTTTAACTTGCAAATATCAAGAAGGATCTCATCACCCTTTGATACTTTGTGATTAATTAATATTTTAGCTAATTGCTGTCTCGTTGCTAACGAGCTAAGTTATCAGCACAGAGAGGCTCTAACTCTTCATGTAGAAGCAATAAGCAAGCTGGTAAAGCAGTGCTGAACAGATGCGAGTGTGCTGTCCACAGTCTGCTTGGGACGGGAAGGAAGAAGGGTGTGGGTACACGCCGTGTGCTCCCACCTGCGCAACCAAGACCAGGGGCTCCTTCAGCAATTATTTCCCCGCGGCTTACAAAGCCGCCGCCTGCAGTGCTGGGAGGCTACCACTAAGTGGCAGCATCTCACCAGTGTTCCCTTTCATCAGCTTGAAGCCTGTTTAGCTTCGCTTCTGGACCAGGGAACACAAGGATTGTTCTGTGATTGCTGATGGAGCTTGGAAAAAGCTTGCTGCTCTCACCATGCTTCCCTGGATTTTTCTATCTTTCTTCTTGCTGGTGTTTTCTTCGGTTCTTGGGAATCTGGGTCAATACCTTGGGCTGGGCATAGAGATGAAGGCCATCATGGTGGTAATAATCACAAGACAACTTAAAGGAGAGAAATACTGATAGTGACCTTTTATCGAATACCTGTTATGTGTTAAGGGCTTTCCAGGTATCACTTCCAAGACCCCTGGGAACTCTACAAGGCTGCCTTCATTTTCTGAGCATGGAAACTGAGGTTCAGAGAATTGAAGCAACTTCCCCAAGGATACCCAACGAGTAGGTAATAGAGGCAAGACGTGAATCCAAGGCATTAATGATCTTCCGATCATCCACTTGAATATTGGGCACAGTGAGAAAAAACCAAAAGGTTTAGCCTTTGTGAAGGTCATCATCTAAAAGAGAGAATGGAGTAAAAATAGAGGAATCAAAGTACAAGTTATTTATAAATAAAGGGAAAAACCTTATATATGACTGATGTATAAGCCTGTAAAATTTATAAAGGGTTTGAGATTATTGGGGACACGAGNATATATGACTGATGTATAAGCCTATAAAATTTATAAAGGGTTTGAGATTATTGGGGACACGAGCTAAGCAGTCAGTTCTTATCTGGTTAGAGACATCGTTCTAGTTCTGAAGACAACAGTAAGGAGGGCAGAATAAAAACCAGATATTCTTGGGTTTACCCTCAAACTCACGAATCCTTACTGTCAAAGATTTTGTTTTATGACACTTGAATTCCCTCTGTGTCCTTTGAAGCGATGTCTCGGCTAGAGGTTTGTACGGAGGTAACCTAAGTAAACTACTTTAAGGGCTAAGAAGCCCAGCTCTCCCAGGTACAGACCCGTAAGAGCAGCAGGACCCTCGTGACACTAAGACAAACTGACATTTATGTGCTGGGGGCTGGACATCCCACCGGGTGCCTTGCATTCATTACTGTCCTTAATCTTAACACAGCCCAATAAGATGTGTACTAAATTGGTATCCCCTCAGGATGCCAAGCTCAGACAGGCTCAAGAGCTCTCCAGAAGGGCACACAGCTTGTAAGTGGTGAAGCTGGAATTCCATCCAAGTTGGCAGGTCAAAGAGCCGGCTTTTAACCTTTAAACACACTGTGTCTGTTTAGCATGCTACATGGCAGCGAGCAAATGCTCTGGCCATTGTAAAATTAAATTTGGTTATAAGTTTCAAAGAACTTACAAGTATGTTATGAGATTTGATGCTAGCAACAGTCCCATGAGAAAGGCAATTTAGATTTTCTTACTACTCCCTTCCCTACTCCCACCCCTAACCCCT